ATAACTGAGACCACTGGGTTCATCATTCTTTGGTGAAATTGTGGCTGGATGAGCTCAGGATTACCTAAAACTCTTGCCATTAGTCAAGTCCATTAGGGTGAACCATGTCTGCATATTTGCATTTCATCCCAACTCTTTTACCTGCTGCTGAATATGACATGTTCAGAAGTAGCTGTGGAGCGCTGCGTGCAAGGCCAAGAGGTTACATATGGTATCTGGAATCCTGCAAGACACACGCGCATCAAGTGGTGCCATTTATGATTTCAAGCTGCAGTTCCACAGCACATGAAATGCTTTTACCCAACAAACAAGCACATCAGCAAAACAAATTAAGCCCACATGTGAGAGCAATTGGTGAGAACGATTCAGGGAAATACAAGCATAAACAAGTAAACAAGCATTCAGTAACAGGTCTGCTTTAGGGAAGGCCTGACTTTTAACCAGCGGGTTTACGGTGGAAGTGTTATGTGTTATTCACTAATATCATTATGTACTGATTGAGTTTATTAAGGAGACTATGATGCTGAAGATAAGCTGACTGGCAAACAAGGCTCATCTGTTTTGCCTGCCTCACTGGAACTCGGGCAATTTAGTCGACATAAAAAGGCAAGCATGGGGAAAACATAATAATTTTTGAGAGCTTATGTTTCAGCCATGTGGCTTCTGAAAAATTACATCAGCATAAAAATATGATTACATTTGGCAGAATCACTCATGGTTCTCAGAGAGCATGGGGCCATCTGATTTTTGTGATCCACGGACTTTGAGTCTATCAATTGCAGCGGATCAAACTTTTCCCTTATTCTAAGCTGCTGGTTACTGATGACACACCCTCGAGACGCTGACGTTCATTTTTGAGAGACAGAGTAAGGAATATTGGATTTTTTCCAATCAAATACGGTTCAGGTGCTCAGATCCTTCTAAGGATAAATGGTTAATAAAGCATTTTTTTGTCCACCCTGTAATAAAAGGCTTTAACAGAGGTGTGAGCACATGTGAGATACCATGACATAAGAAATGAATCAAAAACTGAAGCAGATACTGAACGCTAACTGAAACACACAGTGTTCTTCAACAGACTCTTGTTTGTCTTGAGTATTATATCATCACTGGATGGTTTGTGTCGTGTTGTCCACCAGCTATGAGCAATAAACGCAAACACAATTTCAAATTCATGTCATTCCGGCTCTTTTCTTGTCATGTGTGCCTCTCAGACTACAAGTGACCTAACAACACACTATGAACTTGTGAAACTCTGTTTACACTGAAAACCACTGAGATTCATAGAAACACTTAGATACCATACGTAGGTAACTCAAAACCTCAAAATTCCTGCATGCTAAAAATAAAGACAATCTCTTTTTAGAAAATCTCAAAGGTAAATAATCTCATTGCACACATAATATATTTGTTATTTTGCTCGTGTCAAGGTAAATCAGTGATTTTAAAGTAATTTTTCAGCCAGAACTAAACAAGAAAGGAGTCCGACAAATGAACGTGATGGTCTAGTTTCAAGCATCTTCAACTTGCAGATTTTATAAAGCTACACAGGGTTAAAAATAATTATCCACCCATGTTCAAGGTTTTATAAGAACAACTGGAGCAACTGAAATATTTTTGCTCAACCCACAGGAAGATTATTTCTAAGTTCAAATAAGTATAATTCAGTGTTTTAGATTCTAGAAGGATATCTTCTTGCAGTACAAGTGAAACTTTCTCTCTGTCTCTCTCTGCTCGGAATTAAAAGAGTTCAGCAGGCATCGTGCTCCAGTTCTGGAGGCATCTCTACATGGTGTACACAGACCTCCAGCGCCCAGTCACGGCCAGACTAGACAAAACAACGTGTCCTAATCCCTCATCGCCATGGAAACCAAAGCATAATGCTCCCCTAACAGACACCTGGCTGATGGATCGAGGGAAGCAAGGGCAAGAGGAACTGAGTAGAACCTCCTCAGCACAAGTTCACGCAGCAAAATAAACACTTTTTTTTGTATTAGATAAGTTAAACTTCACAAATCAAAACTATTTTGGTTAGACCTCTGCAATCTCCAACTTTCTGACTCAACTCAGCATGCTGTCTCAGCCAGAGTCCAGCCAAAGGTCAACCTTTACAATGTACGCATGAGCTCACGCAGCTCTCTGCCTGCCTGACCCTCTCCACCTAGAAAACCTAAAGGCATGGTCCATCATGATTCCCATCAGACAGACAAACAAGGAAAGGCCTGCAGTATGAGCTCACGCAGGGCAAGCCAGCATGACACTGCATGCCTGGGAGTGTGTGTGAGTCTGAGTCCTTGCATCTACGTGTGCGTTTGTGTGTGATGCGCTTAGCATCGAGAGGGTGGTAATCTGTAAATCTGCTTTGCCTTGGGCAGGTGGTGTGAAACTTGGCAAGCAAGACAGAATGAGAGACAGACAGACATCGTGTGAATGACAGATGAGTGTGATAGAGAGAGGAAAAAGAAACCACGTGAGAGTGGTTTAGATTATATAATTAGCTGGTTTTTTATTCCTATGTCACTTGTTTACATACTTATGCATACGTCTATATCAATTTAAAAAATATCTTAAATACAGGCTAGTAAAAGTTTAATCACAGGCTGCTAACATTTGTAACTGCAAGGATTTAAAAATATATCTTATTGCTAACAAATCCCTGAAACCAGCAACCAGCTGATCCTATTATGAAGTATTCTCTGTGTAGCCGAAGGCGTTTACATCCTTCTCTTTCAACAGCCTCCCATTGTTGGCGGAAAAAAAACTATTAAAAAACACATGAGCGTTTCCTTGCGTTGTAAATACTGGCTGGCATCAAATGTGTGCCATTAAAATCTACAGTGCTCAGCAGTTTTGGAGAATTGCTTCACTTCATTAAAGGAAAGAAAAGCGCAGATCATTAGGTTTTCTATTTATTTATTTGTTTATTTTTATAAGTAGTCCTGACTGATATCCACCTTAGAAAAGGAAAGAAAGCTAAATAAATCACTAAACTTTTTACCCCGAACAATACAACACAGACTTCCTGAGGGCAAGTGAGAGCACAAACATTTAAAGTGGCCTTTTACTGACAGCCAAAACAAGTGACATGCAGCAGCCAGAGCCAACACATCTCTGTGCAGTTACTGCAGATCTTGCCCTCTCTGATCAAGGCAAACACCTGAGCAGGGCCTGGGTGGGAGCAGGTGTGAGCGAGACAAAAAAAATAAAATTATAATACTCAGGCGGGCAGACAGACTGCCACAGACTAAGATAAAGCGTAGAGGGAGCAAAGGAGGAAGACAGAGGCAGCAAGCGGACAGGAGAGTGGGAGTAAGCAGGGAGGGAGGGAGAACGTGGTGGTACACGTGACGCTGGCTCAGCCACTGCAGGCTGTTACGTAAGCGCACCCCCTGCCCTGTCTCCTCATGGACTGAGCAGACTCTGCTTCTCTCCAATCCCTATCCCTGCAGCCGCTGCCCACTTTTTTTTCTCTTTCACTCACATGGCTCCTCACATGGCTGCTTCCCTCGCTCCCTCAATGACTCTCCCTCCATCTCTTTCACTCACTCTCCTCCACCCACTCATTGCACCCCAGGGGAGCCACCAACCTCTACTGCCTTTGCTGTCACTCTGTCTCTCTCCTTCTGTTTTTGTCTGTCTGCTTGCCTGCCTGCCTCCCTCTCTCTCTCTCTCTCATTATTTCCATCAATCGTTTTTCTCTCTCTCTCGTGCAGTAAGGCTGCAGCTCCACACTCAGGGCTACGCGGATATGACAAAGAGAGGCCGCAAATACATGCTCGAGCACACTCATGCACACCTACACAAACTGACATTTCACATATCGTTACCGCACTGTCTGGCTTCTCCAAGCCGCTTTTAAAAAAAGTGACTGTTTTTCCACTTTGAATTCCTCTTATCTTGCTCCACACAACTGTTGAATCATTTGCCTTTCAAATAAATAAAAAAAAGCGTTCCAAAAAAACAAAAAAAACAAAAAACACATAGCTTGGCTGACTGACACACAATACAAACACAAAAAGGAAAAGCAAAACTCTGACTCCTCAAGCAGCTGGAAGTCAAACAAGTTGCCGTGTACTATATTGAGCAACGTAGTCCTGACAGTATTAGTAATACCATTATACTGAAATAGAAGGTAAAAGAACATACATTTGTTCTGCTTTAATAAGCTGTGCCTTAAGTGGACTAATAATAATCACATGCATGCATGAAACATGCAAACGTGCTTTCCTACCACTTTTCTTTAAAACAAGACAAATGGAGCTGCAAACTGAGCAAAGCAGTGGACGATTAAAACAGGCCATGTCATGTTTTTGTGCGAACTGATAAAAGGTCTTTTACAGGAACGGCGCATCCTGTGTGAACTTCACACTGGCACCTTCTCTCGCCACACAGCTGGAGCAAGAAGTAATTACAGGCTTGATGTTTTTGTACTTTGGCCCTCACCTTCCACCCCTGTCAATGTGAACAAACATGCGCGCTCTCGCACACGTAGCCACCTCTTTGAGTCTCCTCTACACAAATTTGCGTGTCATCCTACCAACTCTAGTCATTCACTTCCCGGGCCTCTGGCTGAGAGGGAGGTGCAGCAGGACAGGGGCTCCTGTACCCCCAACTCGCTGCAGTATTGATTTGTTTGTTCAGTGCGTTCCCCCACCACCACCTCCTCCTCCTCCTTCCTTTACTTCCTCCTTCCTTTTCTCCCTCTCAGTGTGAGTGTGTCCTCAAGTGCCTCCCTGCCTTATGTAACACAGAAAGGCCCACAGCATACTGATGAAGGGGAGACTGGGCTCTGGGCTGACAGACCTGAGAGAAAACAAGCACTACGCTGCACTGCTATAGGAGCACAGCATTGCCAACACATGAAGTTGAGGATAAATCCAAAGCAAACTTTTGGATGTTCTCACTCACGTAATGTAATTTGTATGCAAAGGTGAATGTGACACCCTAAAACCAATCACTTGGTGAACTTGTTAAAGTCACCTAAAGTGTCATGTACTCACAGATTGCTCAAAGCTTTCCTTCTTTTCAAGCATCTCTCTGAGCGTCTTCAGGATCTTCAGACACAATTTATCCTCTTTGTCCATCAGCTTCTTGGTGTGTTTGATTAGTCTGGAAGAGCGATAAGAGTTGCTGCGTCATTTTGGTTTCTGGTTAATGCACTCGCTTGCTCACAAAACAAGGCCACGCTTTAATAGTGAGAGCACCCTCAGAGGTTTGATGATGTGTCTGAGTATTTTTTACAAAATGTATTTGTCAATTCATGCAGGCCACTGCCACAAATACTGACTTTTTTGCTACCATGCTCTCATTCGCTTCATTTAAAGCTGAATGTGGCTCTATGCAATGACGTTCATTTATCATTTAAAGTGTGTTTTGCAAGTTTATTCTTTTTTTACTTTTCCAGCGTCTACACAGCTGATGAAAAGGTGAAAAAACTGCAAATACAGTGGGGCAAAAAAGTATTTAGTCAGCCACCGATTGTGCAAGTTCCCCCACTTAAAATGATGACAGAGGTCAGTAATTTGCACCAGAGGTACA